AGCTTCACAGGTTCAATTTCCCAACAATCTCGGCTTCATCTTCAACATTCAGCCATCAAGCCTCGCAGGTTCGATTTTCCAACCAACTCGGCTTCATCTTCAACATTCAGCCATCAAGCCTCGCACGTTCGATTTTCCAACCACCTCGGCTCATCTTCCACATTCAGCCATCAAGCCTTGCAAGTTCGATTTTCCAACCACCTCGACTCATCTTCATCTTTCATCTTTCAACCATCAAGCCTCGCAGGTTCGGTTTCTCAACCACTTTGACTTCATTTTCAATTTCAGCTTTCACAAGCCTCGTACATTCAGTTCATTCCACCACCTCGACTTCTTCATCATTCACCCACAATAGCACATTTCTAACTCCAACCATGATATAAATATTTATACTTGGACTTGGGGAACTATTATTTGAGGTTCAAAAATTCTTTCAATTTTTACCCAACCCACTGGCTTTACTTCATTAAAGTCCACGCATTACATAAATTACTATACTTGGACTTGGGGGACTATTGTTACTTGTTGTTATATTTAGCCAACCTACTTGGGCCTATGGCCCACTCAATCCGAACCACGTGGCACTCCAGCTGAGGTGGCATGTATGGCCGAGGCCCTTTATGCCGAGGCCCATATACCGAGGCCTGTGAAAGTAGCCGAAGTCCATACGCCGAGACCCATGAACCGAAGCCATGATGCGAGATCACCGAAAAGATAGCCAAAGCCCTGAAGCGGAAGTATTACGTGAGTGGCAGAAGCCCTGAATCCGAAGCCGAAGCAGAAGCCTCCGAACCATGAAGGAACATCTTCCATGATCACTTCTCCCAAGAGATCTTCTACATAAAGATCTTGTTTGAATGATTGATGGAATGTTTGTCATAAGTGTACATGTCAAGTCTTATCATTAGCATGGGGCTTCTACATAAGCAATAAATGTGCAACAAGCTAGCAAGTCAAGGATGATGCCTAGGATTGGATGTTTGGATTAAAGAGATGAGGTCACGTGCCACCTTATCCAAGGGCTGCCATTTCACATGTACCACTATAAATACTTCCCTTGTGTAACATTAAAGGGCTAATGCAAGAATCAATACAAGAAACCACACTTTACTCACTCTTTCATATTATCTTGCAACACAATACGAGTTCATATATATTTACATGCACATTTATGAGCATCGATTGGTAATTATTGTACAATCGAATTACGAACATCCCGTCGGATTCCGAACGTTCTAATCCCGCGTCGTCGAGCTACTCCCACGCCCCTAATCCGTTCATTCTAGACCGTCCACGTGTCTTAGCGTGTAGGACCTTCGCTCACGTGTGCGCGGGTGGGTCCGACATCTGTTGGCAATATTTTTTGGGGTCAACACAAACAATATATAATAAAGTGATTATTAAGTTGAATGTAACTGTAGCACATTCGGTTGTAGCTGTAGGTAATGAAAATGAGATATTGATGGGGAATACATAGTTCTATTAGTGGTAAAAAAATAGATCTAGCATAGTTACCCCTACCATTTGGACAAGCTAATTTTCATACGAGGACAGAAGTAATAATTATGTTTTAGAACACATTGCGGTTCTTTGGGAAACCAACACACAATCCAAATACTCATATATCGAGATTTTTGACATGTGAGACAATTGAATATCCAAGGGTTTTCAATGATACAATTCAAGTAAGGTCCTTACACGTTGAGAGATCCAGCTAGGGAATAATTGGACACATTTTCACCTCATAGCATCACTACTTGGGACTATTTAAGCAAAAAATTCTTAAATAAATATTTCCTACCAAAAAGGATTGTCAAGATGAGGGATGAAGTCACTACATTTTCTCAACTAGATTCAGAATGCTATTACAAGGCATGTGGAAGATAGAAAGTTCTGTTTGACACCCATTTTGTTGGAAAAATGAATTTTACAATAGTAAATTCATGGAAAATGTATGGATGAAAAATAAAGAAAAGTTTTTGGATTACGTGTAATATTATTTTAATGAAGAATATGTGATTAAAAATAAGAGAAAAAAATACATTTTGATAAAAATGAAAATCAAACTGGCCTTAATATTTCTGCATTCGATTAAATCTGATGAGCATGGATAACATTAACACTGCTGTGATGTGTCAATTACAAAAAAAGAGCGTATATTAAGTTTATCATATAATGGAGGATCTGGCATAAACTGGTGCATTATGGTCTCTGAGAGATCAGATGGAAAATGAATTGGAAGGATGCATGAGTTAGACTAGCAACACTAACTAAAAAAGTAGGTAGTTGGGCAACAAATCAATGTTGAACGCAGTTCTAGCAAGGCCTAGATGCAACCATTGTGGTGGAAATCACGAAAATATGAATTGTATGTCGGAAGCCCATTTTTTAAATCAGCCGAAGAGTTAAATGGTATACAGATTTACCCTAGGCAGTAGAATAATTCACATTCGAACACATACAATCGTGGCTGTAGAAATCAACCCAACTTCTTGTGGCGCAATAATTAGTCTTCTCAAGTTTTACTATATCAGAATTTACCACCGAACTTTCAACGGCCAGCAAGAGAAACCTTCTTGGAAGAAGTATTGACTAAAATAGCTAAAGCATCAACCAAAGACATGCAACATACTTAGAAAATTTTGATGATTCAAGGGACTGCTATATAGACTTTGGAAAATCAAATGGGACAAATTGCAGAGGCACTTTCAGAAAGACGGCTTGGAACTCTACCAAGTGATACTGAGATAAATTCCAAATAGCAGGTAATTACAATAAATATTGTAGAGAATGAGCAAATTGAAGGAATTGTTACACGAAGTTGGGTACAACTAAGAGACAGGTTGTAGCGAAGGAAAATATACCTTTTATAGATGAGGAGCACAAGGATTGTTATGAAAAGTTAGCAAAAATAATTTTAGATCCACATTCAGATAGTCCACATGTTAAGGTAACAGTTCTTATTGAAATGGATTTACCACATGTTCTTTTTCCTCAAAGACTGCAAAATAAGAAACTTAAAAGCAATTTACAAAGTTCTTGGATATATTTAGAAAGCTTCATATCAACATCATATTACTTGAACCCATATCGCAAATATAGAGCTATGCAAAATTTTTAAAGGAGATCTTATCAAAGAAGAGGAAACTCATTGAATTTGAGACCATCATGCTAGATGAGGAGTGTAATGTCATCTTATAAAATAAATTGCCTCTTATACTAAAAGATCCAAGGAGTCTAAAAATATCTTGCTCAATAGGAGTGATTCTACTTTCAACTATTTATGTGATTCCGGAGCAAGTATAAATTTAATGCATTTTTCTATCTATGGAAATTTAGGTTCAGAAGAGCTGAGGGACACAATTATCTCCTTTCAACTGCCGGACAGATCAATCAAATACCCTCAAGGAGTGCTTGACAATGTGCTCATAAAATGGAAAATTTATATTCGCAATAGATTTTGTTGTCTTAGACATAGAAGAACCATGTGATGCATCATTACTAATCTTGAATCGATCTTTCCAATCAATAAATCAGGCTATAATGGACTTTGAAACAAGCGAATTGACCTTGAGGGCATATGATGAGCAAAAGAAGTTCAGAATTTATATCACTATCGAGAAACCATCCTATGAAGAGAATAGCATAGAGGTTAAAGAGGAAGAAACGATAGATCATTTAAAGTGACATCATAAAAAAGGAGTTGTTGGAATAATTGGGAACATCAAAGATGAAAAATGAGTTCTTTAAGCAGGGAAAATCAAAAAAGGAGTTGGTAATGTTGAACATTGTGATCAAAGCTTTACCGATGAAGTCCACTTTGAACAATCATGATTAACTCCTCCAAAAAGTTTAGTTAAAGACTCTAAATTAAGAGCTTATTAGGAGGCAATCCAAATTCTTACCCTTTTATTTATTATAATTTATGTATTTACAATGCATCTAATTATTAGGTTGCATTAGTTTTGGGCATGTCTATAAATATAAATATAAAAGTCATCATATTAATTTAAGCATAGGAAACGAAAAGAATATATTTGAGTCAAAATAGTGTAGGAATTGGTTCAAATATTAAATGAATAGGTGTGTAAAAATTGGAAAATGAAAATGTGTGTAAAAAATGGAAAATGAAAAGGTGTGACTATGTGTCAATTTCGACCAAATATTCAGGCTTGATTCGATGGTCAAATTACAAAAGTAAATAGACCAACTTATTCTACTCTTCGAGTAGATCGTTGTGGTATATTTAGAATCTCGAAACCAATTCTGGATGAATGAGAAATTGCGAACCGAAGTTGGAAGAAATGAAGTGTTGCAACTTTTCGAAAGGTGCAGGTTTTGGCCAAGTGTTTCAACTTTTTTGAAAGGATGCATGTCTTGACCCACACTACTTCATTTGCAACCTTTCTACATCTATAAATAGAACCTTATGGATATGATTTTGGGTACACCAATTGAATTGAGTATTCATTCTTCTCTTGCAATTCCCTTCTTTGTAATTCTATAACATTTTCATACATTTCCTTTGTAGAGGGGAAATTCTGTCAAAAGTTCGTCGATTTCTTGTGGTTTGAAGTGCTGCTATGACAAGTTGTGAATCCATTGTATTTTGGGAGACAAGTGTCATTCACCGTGAGCACCGTAGCGGGGCAATTTGTCTTAAGGAAAGAGATAACGTCTCGCCTTGGATTATTCTCTATTTCTACTCTTTCTTAATCCTTATTTTGCGTAATCTTTATACAGAAACTCTGTCCAAATTTTCATTCATATAAATTGTGTTTTGATCATACTCTTGCGGGTTAAAACTGGTCAAACAAATATATCAAAAACCAACCTTTACATAACCCTTCTTATAAGTCGTCTCCAACAATTTTAAGACAAATTTGTGTGTCTTTGTGGTTGGTTGTGGACAAACATTACTTTGTTTGAATAGTGCTTTGTGTACTATTCCTCCATCGATATTATCATCATTTTGTTGAACTTCTGTTTGTGTAACAGAAATGACTACTATCGGGATTTCATCAAGTCAAAATGGTTCCAATAATGTGGTACCACCCGTGGCCATACCGTTGCATAATACTATTATCCCACATGGGGAAAAGTCGAAAAAATTTGCAGGAGTAGATTTCAAGAGGTGGCAACAAAAAATATTGTTTTATCTCACCACCCTTAATTTGGTTAAATTTCTAAAGGAAACTTCACCAACTGTACAAGAAGGGAAAAATAATCGTGAATCGATTATTACTTTAGATGCATGAAAATATTCAGACTTCCTATGCAAGGACTATATCTTAAACGTATTGGATAATACACTATATGGGGTGTATAGTTCAAAAGAATCAGCAAACGAATTATGAGATTCTTTGGAGACAAAGTACAAGACCGAGGATGCCGGAACAAAGAAGTTCACTGTTGGCAAATTTTTGGACTACAAGATGGTGGATTCCAAAATCGTAATTAGTCAGGTGCAAGAGATTCAAGTCTTGTTACACGACATCCATGCTGAGAAACTGGAATTGAGTGAATCATTCCAAGTGGCTACCATTATTGAGAAACTCCCTCCTATGTGGAGAGATTTCAAAAATTACCTCAAGCACAAACGCAAGGAAATGAATTTGGAAGAATTGATTGTGCGCTTGAGGATTGAAGAGGACAATCGAAAAATCGAACGGAAGCCGATTGATCAAGATGGTACAAATTTTGTTGAAATGGAATCAAAGGCAACAAACAAGAAATGAAAGGCTCCTAATTATGCACCACGAAGAGACAATTCCAAGAAGGCTAAGAAATTCAAAGGGAATTGTTACAACTATGGCAAGGCTGGACATCATTTAAGTGAATGTCGAAAGCCAAAGAAGAATGCTCAAGCCCACATGGTCGCAAATAATACTCTATCTGATGGACTGCAAGAAATGAGTTTATCTGCAGTAGTGTCCGAATGCAACATGATTGAAAATACTAGAGAATGGTGGATTGACACCGGCGCTACCCGCCATGTGTGTGTGGACAAGGGGATGTTTTCCAACTATCAAGAATTGAATGGGGAACAACTATACATGGAAAATTTTACAAGTTCCAAAGTTGAAGGACAAGGCAAAGTCACTTTGAAAATGACATCCGAAAAAGAACTCGTTCTCAGCAATATCCTACATGTGCCAGATATAAGAAAGAATTTAGTGTCCGGGTCTCTACTTAGCAAGAATGGTTTTAAACTTGTATTTGTATTCGATAAATTTGTGTTGTCTAAAAATGAGATGTATGTAGGGAAAGGATACATGTGTGATGGAATGTTCAAGTTGAACGTTCTTACAATTGTACTAAAGCAAGTCGTTATGAATAAAACTATAAATTTCGTTTACTTGTTTGAGCCTTCACGTTTGTGGCATAGTCGATTAGGACATGTGAATTACAAATCGTTGCGCAAACTAATGAATCAAAGTTTAATTTCGGCGCATAAAATCAATCCTAATCATAAATGTAAAATATGTGTTGAAGCAAAATTGGCTAAAGCATCGCTCCATTCAATACAAAGAAACACAACCCCTCTTGAATTGATCCATAGATATGCGATCTAAAATTTGTACAAACTCGAGGTGGTAAGAAATACTTTGTGACATTTATTGATGATTATACAAAGTTTTGCTATGTCTTTCTTTTGAGAGGTAAAGACGAAGCCTTAGATGCATTCAAAACCTATAAGGCTGAAGTTGAAACACAACTTGAAAAACGAATAAAAAATATTCGTAGTGATAGAGGAGGTGAATATGGGGCACCGTTTGAAGACTTTTGTTCTGAACATGGAATTGTTCATCAAACAATAGCACCTTACTCTCCTCAATCAAATGGTGCTGCAGAATGCAAAAATCGAACACTTAAAGAAATGATGAATGCCATATTAATAAGTTCGGGCTTATCACAGAACATGTGGGGGGAGGATATTTTAACGACAAATAATCTTCTTAATAAAATACCTCTTAAGAAAATGGAAGAGACACCATATGAACTATGGAAAGGCTATCCTACATCCTACTAATACTTGAAAGTGTGGGGGTGTTTGGCTAAGTTTGAGGTACCTAAGCCTGAACAAGTGAAAATTGGTCCTAAAACGATAGATTGCATATTTATTGGATACGCCAATAATAGTAGTGCATATCGATTTCTTGTACACAAATATGAAATACAAGATGTACACGAAGGGACCATAATTAAATCAAAGAATGCGACATTCTTTGAAAATATTTTTCCTTGCAAAAATAAGGAAAATACGAGTTCTAACAAGAGAACATATGAAACTACCGATGGAACTTCAAATGAGGAAGAACTAAGGCGTAGTAAAAGGGCTAGGACTTCCAAGAAATTTGGCCCAAATTTTCTAACCTATATGGTAGAGGATGATCCAAAAACTTTCAATGAAGCAATGTCTACACCGGAAGCACCGCATTAGAAAGAAACTATTAATAATGAGATAGATTCTATAATGCAAAACCATACATGGGAGTTGGTTGATTTACCTCCCGGTAACAAGCCTTTAGAATGCAAATGGATATTAAAAAAGAAATTGAAAATTGACGGATCTATTGATAAATATAATGCTAGATTGGTTGTTAAAGGACATAGGCAAAAGGAAGGACTTGATTTCTTTGATACCTACTCACCGTGACTAGAATCACGTCGATAAGGTTGTTAATTGCAATTGCGACACTACACAATCTTGAGATTCATCAAATGGATGTAAAAATAGCATTCCTAAACGGTGAGTTAGAAGATGAGATTTACATGGAGTAACCTGAAGGGTTCGTTTCTCCTAATCAAAAACACAAAGTGTGTAAACTTGTTAAGTTCTTGTATGGATTAAAACATGCTCCTAAACAATGGCACCAAAAGTTTGACAAAACAATGTTGTCAAATGGATTCAAGATCAACGAATGTGACAAATGTGTATATATTAAACATACACCATATGCCTATGTAATTGTTTGTCTATATGTGGACGACATATTAATAATGGACAATAGTCACGAAATGTTGCTTAACACTAAAAAGATGCTAACAAAGCATTTGATATGAAAGATATGGGTGTGGCAGATGTAATCCTAGGGATTAAAATCTCTAGAACGCGGGATGAAATAGTACTTTTACAATCTCACTACATAGAAAAAGTAGTTAAAAAGTTTGACGTGTTTGAGGAAAGTCCTACAAGAACTCCTTTTGATTTGAGTATGCACTTAGTCAAGAATACGAGAGAAAACATATCACAACTAAGGTATTCACAAATAATTGGCAGTCTTATGTATATTACAAATTGCACTCAACTAGATATTGCTTTTGCGGTGAATAAACTTAATAGATTTACAAGTAATCCAAATCGTGATTATTGGAAGGCTTTGATGAGAGTTTTAAGGTAATTGAAATATACCTTAACCTATGGATTACACTTCACAAAATATCTTGCGGTACTAGAAGGATATTATGATGCGAATTGGATATCCGATATGAAGGATTCCAAGTCCACTAGTGGTTATATATTCATCATTGGTGGAGCTGCTGTATCATGGAAATCAACAAAACAAACGTGCATAGCTCGATCAACGATGGAATCTGAGTTTATTACTTTGGACAAAGCTGGAGAAGAAGCAGAATGGCTTCAAAATTTCTTAGAAGATGTTCTATGTTGGCCCAAGCCAGTACCTGCGATAAGTATACATTGTGATAATCAATCAGCAATTGGAAGGGCTCGAAGCAGCATGTATAATGGTAAGTCTAGACATATTCGTCATAGACACAACACCATTAAGCAACTGATCTCAAATGGCGTTATCTCCATAGATTATGTAAAATCAAAGGAGAATATTGCGAATCCACTGACGAAAAGTTTGCCTAGAGATTAAATGTGTTGCTTATCGAGAGGAATGAGATTAAAGTCTACTACGTAAGAGTTTTTGCAATGGTAACCCTACCTTGTTGACTGGAGATCCCAAGATCTTGGTTCAAAGGGACAACTAAGTTGTGAAAATTTCATGAAACACTTAGGAAATTAGAATTTCTAACTCATTCCTATGATACTAAAGTGCTTTCTGCAGAGTAAATAAAGGTTAAAATTATCTTTTAATAATACCTATATCTTGATTAAGTCAAGTTGAGTAGGGCAGATACTCTTAATAGGAGGTCACTTATGTAAGTGTGAAGTAGGATCGCTTCGATGAAAATTGTTTAAGGTTTGAATTCTTTAAACACTTATGAAACCAAGAAGGGTTCAGGGGCAAAATGAACCAAGTCATGAAAACTAAGTACAGAATAGGAAAGATATCTGTGTGAGTACTGTTGTCTTGACTTACACCAAAGGCTGAGCGGTTCAAGACCTATGGTTCACCAATTAGTCGAGTAAATCTGATAGTATTTCACTAAGGGAGGTTCAAGGCCAGAAACCACTATCCCTGATACAGTATTTTTTCGCACCCTCTTTATATTGTATCATATCATCGCATTTGCATATACGTACTCAAATTTTCATTCATGTGGGGGATTGTAGGAATTGGTTCAAATATTAAATGAAAATGTGTGTAAAAAATTGGTTCAAATATTAAATGAAAAGGTGTGTAAAAATTGGAAAATGAAAAGGTGTGTAAAAAATGGAAAATGAAAAGGTGTGACTACGTGTCAACTTTGACCAAATATTCGGATTTGATCCGATGGTCAAATTACAAAAGTAAATAGACTAACTTATTCTACTCGTCGAGTAGATCGTCGTGCTGTATTTAAAATCTCGAAACCTATTCCAGATGAATGAGAAATTGCGAACCAAAATTGGAAGAAATGAAGTGTTGCAACTTTTCGAAAGGTGCAGGTTTTGGTCAAGTGTTGCAACTTTTTTGAAAGGATGCGTGTCTTGGCTAGAGATGGCAACGGTTCGGTTCGAGGCCGGTTCGGCCAAAACCATCACCGAACCACTAATTTTTTAGCCATACGATAACCGTACCATAACCACGAAAGTCGGTTCGATTCGTATCTCGGTTCTGCTCAGTTCGGGTCGTTAATAACCATGAAAATAAATTATTTTTAATTGGTCCATCCATCGAATAAAAAGAAAAATGTATGAAAAAAGTCAATGAAAACAAAAATATGATACTAAGTCAATGTAGCAAACAACATCTCAAATGAAAATGCAAAAAATATCTCAATTCTCAAATACAAAATCCAAATTTAACAAACAATATTCAATAACTCAAAAAACTTCAACCTTAATTCATATTCAATATTCATTATTCCCCATAACTCTTACTAGCATACGTCAAAACTCAAAGTTGATTCCTATATAGTATATAAGAAATATAAGTAGAGTAATAATCAATAATCCATAATGTTCTTAACTGAAGATTTAAATAAAAAAATGTACCTCTTCGTCAACATCCTCGTCACCAAACTTTGGTTTCTGTAATTAAAGAATTCAATTTCTTGTTTATGTGTTGTTTAGGCCAAAAGTCATCAAAGAGGAGAGAAATTAAAGTCATTTATCTCTAAAGCGGCCAACAATTATAAAAAATCGAAAATTCTAGATATACTTTGGCCAAATCTTGTGCGAAATTCACAACAAATTCAAATAGATAAATACAAATTATTAAAAAAGAAGATAAGAAGCTCACCAGTGGCAGAAGCCTAAAGGTCGAAGGAGAAGAAAATAATGCAAACGGGCGGAGGCGGAAGAGATAACAGTCGGCACTCTGCAGACCCAGAAGGCAGGAGTTGAGATTCCAATTTTCCAATAAAACGTTTGTGCCTTTGTGTTAGATTGTTAGGGTTCAGGGTTGGGTACTTGGGTTTAAATTTAATTTGTTAATAGGCCAAAAATTTTGGGCCAAAGAAATTAAGTAATTAACATAGAAAAAATCAAAAAATTATGGAAAGCCCAATTATTATTAATTTATTATTTTTTCTAACGGTTAATCGGTTCAGGGCAATGGCGTAAATACCATACCCGCCCCGCCCCGAACCGGTTCATTAAAATCAAATACCATATCCGTCTCATTGCACCATCGGTTTGATTTTTTCGCCCCATTCAGTTCGGTTAACTGTGGTTTTCGATTTTGACGGTTCGAATTATCATCCCTAGTTTTGGCCCACACTACTTCATTTGCACACTTTCTACATCTATAAATAGAACTCTATGGACATGGTTTTGGGTACACCAATTGCATTGAGCATTCATTCTTCTCTTGCAATTCTCTTCTTTCTAATTCTATAGCATTTCATACATTTCCTTTGTAGAGGGGAAATTTTGTCAAAAGTTCGTCGATTTCTTGTGGTTTAAAGTGCTGCTACCACAAGTTGTGAATTCATTGTATCTTGGAAGACAAGTGTCATTCACCGTGAGCACCGTAGCGGGGCAATTTGTCTTAAGGAAAGAGATAACGTCTCGCCTTGGATTATTCTCTATTTCTACTCCTTCTTAATCCTTGTTTTGCGCAATCTTTATACAGAAACTCTGTCCAAATTTTCATTCATATAAATTGTGTTTTGATCACGCTCTTGCAGGTTAAAACTGGTCAAACAAATATATCAAAAATCAACCCTTACATAACCCTTTTTATAAGTCGTCTCCAACAAATAGTAGGAAAAACGTGTAGTATGTTTTTCAAGGCTCTAGGGGTGTCAAAAAGTTAGTTATCATACACACCATATTATAGCTCTTGAATTGTTTCTAAGCAAAAGGAGATAAGAATGATAGAACTTGGAAATAGAGGGAACTCAACTGGAGAAGGATTTGGAGTCGCGGTGTGACATTTGTTTTCTACTTTGTCTCATGGTAAAAAGATCGATCTGGTAAAGGTAGCCAATTTTTTGGTTGTTTGTCTTGTCTTAAATTCAAAGGGTTATATTTGTTTTCTCCTTTCAAGAGTGTAGAGATATCAAACAAGAAAAGCTTAACAAACTGGAGAATGAAACTAAATGATCTAAAAATAGTACTTTCAATATCAAACAAAAATTCGGGGAGCACGATTGACCTTTCTTTTGCCTCCCCTTTATGCTGTTAGATTATACTTTAAGACATTGACAAAATATCTACTTTAAATTTGAGGGCATAAAAAATATTCAGTTTTTAGCTTTAGTATTAGTGTGTGCTTATTGCTTTGTTATATGTATAAAAAAAAAATCAAAAATAATTTTCTTGTTTGTTTTGTGCTTGTATGAGTTATGTAGCTTTCCCAATAATGATTAATATATATGAAATTATGTGTTAATTTATGAACTGTGAATAGGTTATGTGCTTAAATTAATGGATGATTATCCATGTAAAACTGATACTTTTTTGTGCAAATGAATTGAGTTTAGCATTATAAAGTAGTGAGTTGATTCACACGTTTGATAGGTTAAAATAGTAGAACTTAGATGTGAAACCCAAAATTTACTACATTATATATCCTTAGACCAAATTTAAAATAGTTTAGAGGGTGATTTCACTGTTTCAGAAAGACATGGATATGAACAAGGATTTCATGTATGTAAATTCTTGTATTGATTGTGTAAGGCCAATAAGATGAAAGTTAGGTGCAAATTTTAAGTTATGATCAATTTTTGAAAATGAGTAATAATCAGGGCATTGCACTAATCTTGGCCCCAAAAATAAAAATAAAAAATAAATCTCATAGTAAAACCTTTTTTCATAGCCTTTATGACTCAATAGATAAGTTTGTAAAAGTATTTAAAATCTAGTGCTTTATGGTCATCTGACTTGGAAGACATCGACTTAAAGCTCGTTATAGGAATCCTTTAGAAAGTTTAATAGAAGGAAGTCTGCACATGATAAGATAAGAAAAGAATATTACTAAGCTCCCGTTTGGAGCCCATTCTCTTTAAAAAAAAAATTCTCACTTATTTTTAACCACACAATCTTCCATAAAATAATATTACATGTAAATCGAAAAATTTTCATTCTTTTCAAACCACATATTTTTCAAAAAAAAAAAATATTATTCCAACCATTAAATTTTGGAATGAATGGGAGCTTAACGGGTAATAATATTAATTATTTATTTACGTACTACACACCCTAATCAAAACCCAAACACTTATTTGAGATAATTAGATCTTTGACAATGGATAATTAGCTTAGTAGATTCTTTGAAGTTAAAACAATAAGAAAATTGGAGAATCCTTATTTGTAAAAGTATGGATTTGCAATTAGCGAGATGTGATGACCAATAGTTGATTTCATCCTCAATGTTTTGATCATAATCAACATGATTAATATTGTTTCTAAAAATTTATTTTGAGTTATGATAGTTTCATGTTAAAATCAAGGGATAATTGCAGCAGAAGCCCTAAAAACATTTCATTTGTTGCAGTCGTCACCCCTAATATTTTCAAACGTTGCATGTGAGGGCCCTTTTGGTTGATTTCTGTCAAAAATTTCGTTAGTTGATCATCAAACTAAACTTTGACCACTTTTTAATCAATTTTAAAAGAGTAAAATGTTAATTTTTTTTTTTACTATACTAAACAATTAAAAAACTTAAATAAAAAACAAAACAAAAAAAAGAAAAAAAAAGAAATGGATTTTCTTCTTCTCTCCCCCACCCCACTCAATCTGAAACCAGCTACACCACACATAGCCCGTACAAATCCCAAGTCGTGAACCATTCTCCAACCAGACACGGTGATAATGAACAGTAGACTTTGACAATGTGATTTGAGAATATTTTTTCTTTTTCTTTTTTGGGAATAACCTAGTTATGGTGGGAAGAATAGTTCCTTGGAGTGTTTTATCATTTTACTTTTCAAGCTTGAAATTAACAGTGAGTTAGGTGTGCATTTAACGGTAAAATAAACGACATATAGAAGGAAGGACGTTTTGAGCAATGAAATGTTGAAATAAGGGCGAATATGCCAAAAAAATAAAACGTAGGGACTTTTTCGCAACAAGTGTCAAACGTAAGAACGTTTTGTGCTATTAACCCATGAACTTTTGTCTGTGTTTTTGCTTGTTCACTAAAGTTTAGATGTCGAGTTTTGACTACTAAACTTATCCAAACGTTCGACATTATTAACTGGTATAACATCCGTTTCAAACCTTTAACGAAATTAGTGATATGACTTACAGAATACACATGTGATGTTCTGTAATGTCGTTAACAAATTGCCACAATTCGATTGCTCACTAAGTTTTGACAAACGTCGATTGGTAACTGAACTTTGATGAGGTTGAATTTTCGTCTAGGAAAAATTGCAGCAGCGGTCCCTAATCTTTTCATTTTTGTTGACTTTACCCCCAACCTTTATTTTATGCCAACGAAGGTTCCCAACCTTTTATAAATATGCACCTGAGATCCATGCGGACAGAACCATCCAAAAAATATTCAGTTGACTAGAAAAATTAAAGAATCAACATCTAATAAATCTATTTAAAACACCGTCCAAAAAGGTATCAATATCCAATAAAATCGTCGCGATAGTAGATAGTTGAAGAAATTTTCCCAATCAACTGACAGAGTTTTGGACAGTTTTCATCCAGATGAACCTTGAGTGCATATTTGTTAAATGTTAGGGAGCTTCGTTGGCACAAAATGAAGGTTAGGGTAAAGTCTGCACAACTGCTGCTGCAATTTTTCTAAAAATTTAAAGCGTCTTTCATTGCTCACTGAACTTTGAAAACGTCTTCAATTGCTCACTAAATTTTGAAAAAAAAGGTCTTTGATTGCTCACTGAATTTTGAGTTGATTAAATTTTGACTACTAAACTTATAAAAATTAGCTCGACTTGTGTTCATTGAAAAATGTGTACTACAAGTACACGACTCGCATGAAAGCAATAAAATAGAAAAATGAGTGCGGGTTGTCAATTCCAAGAGAAATCATACTCAATTACACAATAATTAAATTTAATTTTAACACGTCGTTGTAAAATTTTAAACTATTTTCATCATTTAAAAATTTCAAATTTATTGTCTGCTTCATTGCTAAAATTAAAAGTTTGTTTGATGCTCACACACACACACACACACACACACACAATAATTCTATTAAGCCCCTGTTTGATACCCATTTTAACCTCATTTGTAAAATATTTTTGACCGTTATACAGTAATTTCATCAATCAAAAATTTTGCCACCTGACATATGACTGACAAAAGGTTGTACCTTTTTAATTATTTAGCCTTCTCCGTTACCTATTTTACCCATAACACTCAAAGCTCATTTTGTCAAGAAATTTGACAAATGGGGGTAGAAATGGAAAAGGGTGAATAAAGAATAAAACCACTCATTTACGTGTTGTAACGTAGGCCCACTTGATGTGATGGAAAAAAATGAATTTTAGTAGAATAATGGCTTCCAAACACAGGCTAAATGAATTTGCAATGAAACACACAATAAATTTAAGGCTAAAGCCACTTGGGGGGTTTTCACCCAAGAATAACTCTAAATTTAATTAAAATTTGGATTTTTGTAACACATAGTCCATTTTATTAAGGGCTTGTTCAGTAGTGATTTTAAAAATTAATTTTTTTTATCGTTAGAGAGAAAAGTAGATCCTATCTGTAAGAGAAGAAGTCAAAAATAACGATTGAAATAGTAAAATAATAGTCAAAAAATTAATTTTTTAGGTAGAAAAATCAATACCAAACATGCACTAAATTTATTGTGTGTTTCTTTTGATCCAAACTTTAATTTGATTTAATTTTGATAACGAAATTTACAATAAATTTGAATTTTTCAAATGATGTAAATAGTTTGAAATTCTACAAAAATATGTTAAATGAAATTTAATTATTGTGTAATTGAGTAATCATTTCTCGTTGTATTGACAACCTGAACTTGTTTGTCCACAATATTACTTTTATCGACCTATGCGCTTGAGGTACATATTTTTTAACTAACACAGGTCGATGTCATTTTTATAAGTTTAGTGGTCAAAACTCGACCATCTCAAAGTTTAGTGAACAACCAAAATGTCTCTAAAGTTTAATGAGTAATTGAAAATATTTTTCAAAGTTTAGTAAATAATCATTACTGTTTGTCAAAATTTAGTGAGCAATCGAAGATATGACAATTTGTTAATGACTTAACGAGGTGATACACGCGTTTGAAACGGATATTATGTTCGTAAGTAACATCTAACGTTTAAATAAATTTAGTGGTCAAAATTCAATATCTTAAATTTCGGTTAGCAAACGAAAACACATGTATAACTTCTATGATCGTTGACACAATTAATTCTCTAGAATATAAAAATTTCTATGATTTGCAGTCCAGCACAACACGCCTTTGAATTGAAACTTCAAATTCGAGTAGTTTAAAACCTCCCGTCTTCCTCTTCTGATGATTGATTCAATTTTCAACAATATTGCTTCTGATAAGAGTTGATGGCGTCGATTTACTGCTGCGAAGAGTGCGGAGCCAATTTAAATCTTCATTCCAGCCACCTCTACCCGCCGGATTTCTACTTCGAGGCCGGCAACAAAGGTACCCTCTCGTTTTCTCTAGTCGATTCCTCCAAATTTAAGTTCGATAAAGAAGACAAAATCCGGCCTTTTTTCGAGTCTTTTAATTACTGGGGCATCCAAAGGAAACGCACCAAGATCAAGTGCAATAGCTGTGGAAAGCTCGTCGGGTATATTTACGATGATGGTGCGCCCATGACGGATAGTCCGGGTCAGTTCCATATGGGTCCGAGTCAGGTTGTGCCTAGAAACCCTAGGTACAGGTTCAAGAGCAAGGCTTTAAGGATTTCTTCTGAGACTTGATTTGCGGCTGTGTTTGTGTTTTTTTTGCTGGGTTTTGTAGATAACGATGGGGATTGATGAGTACGTTTTACGAGATCTGTTTTGTATACATACCGAATTTTTGTGTGCCTACATATGTAAATTTATCGTTAATTGTTATACCTGTAATTCAAAAAATGAGGAAACGATGTTTGAACTTATTGTATTAGGCAAACACGCTGTTAATTTCTTTCACATTTTATTTCTCCTTTCTTTTCTATTATAACCGCAGGGAGGGAGAGAGTGGTGAGCATGTGAAGTTTGATTTTTTAATCATTATTGTCTCCACCTGATTCTCTTTCTTCCCTCCTTCCTCTTCCATTTCTAGTTTCCATTTGTAATTTCACTCAGAATTTGACTATATATAGTTGGGCAACTGATTTCATTTACAATTTGTGTTAATCCTTATGGTAGTGATTGAAATTGGGTGGGAATTAGAATCCATTCATAACACTGAAATGTTTTCTGAAGGTTCAACAAATCCATTGCATAATTGTTCCCAATTTTCAACAAAATTCATCGAGAATCACATAGTATTGTCATGAAATTCTTAGGATTACATTTATTCAGCGAATAATCATAAAATCAAACTGCGGCAGCGCATTATTTCAATTGAAGGCTTAAGGCCCTCAATTCTACAGGGAATTACCTTTCACTCGTATGTTTGACCGCATATGTTTCATCCTTGCTCTAGCTTGTGCCAAACTTTCACTTAAAACTTGGTCCATCTTATGCCTCTTATAGTGATTCTTCCATTGTTGCTACAATTATCTGCTATTATGGTCCCAACGCCAATTGTGGGGGGTTTGATGCCATAAGGTGCCTCAAATGGTGTCATCTTGATTGAGGTGTGTACAATGGTGTTGTACTGCCACACAGCCAAGCTGACCAACTTAATCCAATGGTTAGGTTGCTTGTAAGCCATATACCTAAGGTACATTTTGAGACATTGATTTACCCTGTCTGTTTGCCCATCTGTCTAGGGATGATAAGCCGAGCTCACCAGTAATTTGGTCCCCATTTGCTTGAACAACTCTTGCCAAAAGTCATTTGTGAACATTTTATCTCTATCTGTGATTATACTGTGTGCATCCCGTGTAATTTGTAGACGTTATCCAACAATAACCTTGCTACATTTGCTGCTGAGAAAGGATGTGATAACGTTAGAAAGTGCCCATATTTAGTGAATCTATCCACCAGAACTAGTATTACATTTTTTGCCCAAGAATTAGGTAATCCCTTGATGAAATCGATAGAGATATGACTCCAAGCATATCGTGGCTATGGGGTGGTGGCTGTAGTAATTCTAGGTATGCCACATGTTTCCCTTTACACCTTTGGGCCTTGGCATGTGTTACATTTCAAAACCTCCTATATAATTTCTCTAGTCATCCCAAGCCAAAACAAAATTGTTACTTAGCCTTGTGGATACTAGCCTGTACTCTTGAATGTCCACCTTCTTGTGACGAATTAATGGCTCCAATTAGTTTCTTCATCACTCGTCCTCTAAAGCCAATGTGAACTCTAGATTTATACCTAAGTAGCCCATTCAAAAAGTGGTATTCTGGTTCTGCATTGTCATTGAGTAACAAGGCAGTGATTTTGCTTCAGCTTCTCCATCTCCTTGGTAATTGGCTATCACCTCTTAAATCTATACTTGGGTTACTATAGTTACTGCTAAGTACTCAGCCTCCTTGTCTTCCCTTCTAGATAAGGCATTTGCCACTTTATTGTCCACCTCCTTTTATAATGTGTCTTATAGCTAAGCCCTAAGAGTTTAGACAACCACTTTTGCTGTAATGGAGTGGTGATTCTTTGCTCAACTAAGTTCTTAAGTGATCAGTGGATTGTTTTGATAATGAAATGGTGTTGTCTCCACTTGCCCACGAACTTTACTGAGGCTCATAGTTCTTTTTCATAAATTGACAAGCCCAAATTTCTACTGTTAATGCCTTTGCTCGAGTAGGCTATAGGCTTTTGTTCTACATCAATACAGATCCAATTCCCCCATAACATGCATTTGTTGCCATGATAAATGGTACAGGAAAATCTACTAAAGCCAATACAGGTGTAGTGCTCATACCATTCTTCAATTCTTGAAATTCTAACTCAGCAGCCTCACTTCAAATGAAATTTTCCTTCTTCAATAAGTCAGTTAAAGGTTTGGCCATGGCTCATTATCCTCTTACTAACCTCCCATAGTAACCAGTCAAGCCCAAAATTCCCCTCTACTGTTTGACATTGACTGGCTTAGGCCATTCTTGCATTGCAATTACCTCGGAAGGGTCAGCTGCCACTTCTTTTGTAGAGATAATATCACCAAGATACTCTATTTTAGGTTGCCCAGAAGTGCACTTGGTCTCTTCAGCATACTGTTGTTGCTTCTTTAGAAGGTTAAGGACCACGGTAACATGCTCACAATGAGTCCATGTCCACCAGTCAGTGCTATAGATTAGGATATCATAAAAAACCACCAAAACAAATTTCCTGAGCTGTTTCGTAAGTACCTCATTCATTGGACATTGGAATGTGGTTGGGGCGTTAGTAAGTTCAAAGGGTATTACTTTGAATTCATAAAGGCCTTCATGGGTCTTAAAGGCTGTTTTATGAACATCCTCATCTGCTACCCTGATTTGGTGATATCCAGTCTTCAAGTCAATTTTGTGAACCACTTTCTCCTGTTCAGTTCATCCAATAATTCATCGATTAGTGGCATAGGATAATTGTCATTAGTAGTGAGGCTATTCAATTGTCTTTAATTTGCACAAAACCTCTATGTTCCATTTTTTTCTTAACCAAAAGTACAGGAGAAACATTAATCCGCTGAATTATTCCCCATTCCCTCATTTCTTTGACCATCTCTCAATTTCTACTTTTTATATTTGTGGATATCTGTATGGCATGATCTAAAATGGCAGTGCTCCCTCCTTAAGTGGTAAATGGTGATCATTGAATCTAGGGGTGGCAACCCTGTTGGTTCTAAGAAAACCATGGGAAATTGATTCACGACAGCCTTGAATTCAGCTGGTATGGGTTCTTGATCTTTCTCGGTGATGGCAGTGCCATCACTCTATATATTTGATTCCTGAACTAGCACTCTATTCAGTATCAATCATCATCTTAAATTCTTCATTGATGGCCTCACTTTTTAGTTCCATCTTTAAGCACTCATGAGTGAATATGATGCTTCCTTTAATGAAATCTAACAACACATAATTGAATTGGTGGAATTTGAGATCCTGCATTCTCCATATTAGTGGATTACAGATATCCCTACTGGCTAGTTTTTCTCCCCTTGTCATGGTTACTGATGTGGGTTTAGTCTGCTGCATCCTGCAGTTGATGTTTTGGGCTAGTTGTTCATCAATCAAGCTATAGGTACTCTCACTATCAATCAATATGATACCCCTTTCTTTTTGATAATTCCTGAAAGCCTGATAATTTTATATCTATTCCTTTGCTTTTCTTCATAACACATTGTTTTGCGTGGAAAAGGAAAAAAAGGCAAAACAAAGAGCTAGAGCTTTACGGGGGAGGTTTGTTGATATTGTTGTAAAGCAAATACATAATTGATAAATAGAAATCTCGGAAGAATGATAGGACTGATTGAACTTGTTCCAAACCCTACGTGTCTGGTCAGGTATAGGTATAATTTGTTGGATCAACCATCTTCTAGATGAGAATTTCATTTCATTTCATTTCATTTCATTATCGCTGCAACTTGATTTTGATGTGTTGTTTATGCCAAATGGTTGTCTTATCATTGACATGGATAGAATTTGGTTTCAATTCAATATTGCTGCAAGTTGGTATTGATGTCTTTCTATGCCAAATGGTTGTCTAATCATTCGTACCTGGATGGTAGCACACCTTAAACTTCCATTTCTGTTTATGTCGTCTTCCATGGTTTTACATTTATTTGGACGTGATGGAATAGAGCACCAGAAGCGCACAGATTCTTGGTCGTATAGTCAAATAATGTTTACATCAATATGTTGCAATTGAATATGAAGGCAGGCAGGATGTCATCAAGTATATATCGAGCATAATATTCAAATATTAAAAAATGATGCAAGTATTTTCTTAACAATCATTGTTTGTCTTTTTGCACAAGACCTGCGACTGGACTCTCAAGTCCCAGACTATACATATGTGAAAATTTGTTTAATATGGTAGTTAATTGATCAGGTCACATGTCTTTTTTTTATTCTTTACGGTTCTTAACTACAATTATTATTATTATTATTATTATTATTATTATTATTATTTTTGCAGTGCTTCTATTAATACACAATATCTGCAAGAAAAATCTTGTGCAAAACTTCCATATACCAGTTCTTTGATTGGAAGCAATTGAAATGAAGCAACCAAAACTCAAGGTCAGCTGACCACCTACACCAATGCTACTGGTACCAAGGTTTCTTGTCATGGGGAAATGTATGCTTGTGTTACCAAATGTGGCCAAGCTAGAGATTGATAAGTTGTTGTTGTTGTTGTTGTTGTTGTTGTTGGATCATCTCTCTGCTGCTATAAAAAGGCTGCAGCTCATTAAAGGCCACAAAGTCTCTCGGTAAGTTTTACCTCTATGGTGTCATTCTAGGATAGAGTTTATAAAGCGGAAAGTATCAACTGCATACTCAATCAAGTAACACTTGAAATGCTTAGTTCTTCATTTTGACTGAATTTCCCTCCATGTATTGAGTATTCACCTTGTCTTAACAGACAATATGAAGAAAATTTGCTTTTTGATCTAAGGTATGATAATTGCATAGAGGACGTCTGGCAAAACTAGAGAGTCATTTAGTAGATCTATCAAGAAGTATGTCTCTACGTACTTCTCAATAATGCCACTTTTTAATGGCATTTTTAAGCTTAACCAAACACGCTACAAGTTCCCTTAGTCTAAATTGCTATAAATATATTGTCCCTGGATCAAAATCATAAAGTTTAAACTTTCTAGTGAGTTGGGATTTTAGTTTGGGTAGTCATCAAGTTCGTCCCAATTACTGGTGATCACTAGGGTCTATTTCTTTTGCAGATATAATTGTCAAAAATCTCAAGTTCTCATATTTCAGTTTTTAGGTATATGAACTAGGACGAAATACAGTTTCTTTTCCCACAGCTCATTAAATTCTGCAATAAAACAACGAAGTTGAGTTCAGAACCTTGTATCTGAGGGTGGATTAGTCAATTCGAGTACCACTGACTCACACATGGTAGTTGCTATAGTAGGAGGCCTACAATAACATTATGCATAGTTTTAAATTCCATATTGGGGTATATATGCATGCTGTAATACAAGAAAATCATCTATTTTGTTACTATCATTTCTTTAATTTCATTTTTTTTTCCCAATCTACACATGAAAATTTTATATTCTAGATCAAATTATATATAAAATTCAATAATCAAGTACAAAATATCCAATGTCGACATGGAAAATATATTTAATGCCAAATAATTAAAAACTTCAATTTTATCTCAATTTTATTGTTTGATACTTGGAAACCTTTACATAACTTTCTAAGCAATGATCCACTGCTCTTACTAGTTACCCATCGATTCAAACAGTGACCTGTGACCTTGACCTGTTCAATGTCTGATTTGGGTCTGAAAACTAAGTGAAACACAGGAAGAAAGTCTTGGATTTCGATGTTTCATTAAAAATATGGGATTTGCAGGTGATCATTTAGTTCCTTTGAACTTCCCAATGAACTGAGCCCATAGAGGATCATGTGTTCTACATCCTTTGCTTTGTCTAGATAACAAATCAAAGCCCTATTAGTTGTAGCCAAAAATAACCACATACACACACATTCATGTGTAAATGCATGATTTTTTTCAAGAAATGCTTAGTAGGTGTCGATATGGTTGTTACTGTGGCATGACCAGAATGGGGCTACACGTTTGCCACTATGCTCTGTAGAAGGGGTTGCTAGGACTGCCATTGAAAGAAAAGGAAATAAAATAACAAAAACACTAAGGGGTCACCTTAACTATTATAGTTTGTTAAAACCAGATGATATGTTGCATATTTTCTTGGATAAGCTGGGCATGAAACTGCATCCTGTTAAATATTGCAATGTTTTGGTTGTTTGATATAGAGCTTGTCCTTGTTTGTCTTTCATCATTGTGATGCAAATTGGAAAGTATATTCTAGGCATAAACAGAATCAAATCAATTAAGGATTGAATTTTCATTATTGCATTTTATTGTTTTTCGTAGAATAGTAAATTTGTCTCCTTTTAAAAGGAAATCCAAGTTCTCCTTTTCATTTTTATTTAGGACCTATAAATTGAGGTTTTTTGGTTGTAAGAAGACAGACCTGAATATTGAATAAACCTACAATCTTTCCCTCATTTCTCTCGTCCTACTTCTTTCTCCTTCTTTATTGCTCTCGTTCATTGCCATCGGCATCACATTGTTTCTAACTTATGCAGATGTGAGTTCAGAATACAAGTGGAGAGTATGAACTTTCTTGCTGTGCAAATGAAAAGCTCAATTTTTATCAACATCCCCTGGGATTATATCATAAAAAAATGTAGATTGTAAGGCATATTTCTTGTCCTTGATGATATACTTGTTACCCTTTTGTCGTGTTATCAGGACTCTCGTCTAAGTTTTCGTTGAGGTATACTCAGCAGAATATTAAGAGTTAAACCCTGGATTTAATGTCTAGGACCTAACTTGTATACATACCAAACCAAACTGATATAACCTAAATTGTAATTCTATTATGTTGGTGATTAACTCAGTGTAAGTGTCTGGTATGCAGGAACATGACTACCGACAATTTGAATACTCCTTGAAGAAGAATGGTAAGCGTGAGAAGAACAACAAAGTGGAAAGGGTGACAATAAATAGATGCGGGTGGGAGTCAAGGACTGGTGAGTTGAAATATTTAAATGCGACGACTGAGATCTAGTAAATTATTTTTCGTGTTCAACTAAGATACACACCTAGGGCATGATGTGCAATTGGCAATTTAATTTGATAGCATTGAGGATAGAGGCATGTTGTTTTCTAGTCGAGTATAACTAACATTTTTTCGACTGATTGCAGGTGGATCAAGACCGAATATTCGTACCTAGACCAGCCAACCATAAACACGGCAGATAATCCTAGGGTATGATATTCCTATACTCCAAATCTTATGTGACGAGTCCAATCCCCAACAAGATCCAACAGATGTATTTGTTTGATATTTAATTTTGATACGAATTGGACATGATTCGATACGCTTTCAACATGTTTCTGGCATATAAATGTCTTTCTAATATACCATGTGATGTGCCTTGTATGTTTAATTTTTGACACAGAAATTGTGTCTATACATCGTTTACATTTTTCTTCCTCATTTCTAATGGAATTAAGCTTTGTTGTTAGATGAATTTGGCATTTTTATTGATAGAAGATGTGTAAAAAAATGATTGGATGACATTGTTGACTATTTTTTAAATGGTCGAATAAAATTCTACTACGTGGCTTTTTGGTCATTCAAGATGTTAGTGTAGCATAATTGTTTCTAATGTGTAGGGCATGATCTTGATGTGACAGGGGAAGCAAGTTCATTTTGTAAATTTCTGAATATAAAATTAATGAAATTTTTTATCGACAAGTATGCTAGCATCAAATCAAAACTACTTGCACAAGGCAATCTAAGCTTACGCATGATCTATCTAGTGGGAGTTAGAAATTGTACACTGTAACAAACTCATTTTAACAACATTATTCTTTGAAATATATGATTCGTGATTGAACATATCTAGAAATATGCAAAGCCTCTATCTGATTTGAATAAAAAATTAAAATTTTAGTAGATTTTGATAATAAACATGTGGTTGAAAAATTGATAAAAGTCATAGGTTTCATAAAATTTGTGATTAAAAATGAGTTTAAAGAAAAATAAGTTTAAAGAAATGATGGACAAACAGGAGCAAAATCCAAAATTATCAATACTTTTCTGTTGTGCTATATATACATAATAATTTATACAATTTTTTTTATTTTTTGGGATCATGTAAATAAATATATATTAGTCAAAATTGCGTACAAATACTCCGGGCATTCCCGGGCAATCAAAGATGAAGCATAATTACAATTACATTGGTGTATCCTGACAATAAAAAATCAAGTGAAATACAAGTACTTCGAGCATACTAGGGCGAACAAGGTACTAGACATCTATACAAATACTACGAGCATACTCGGGAAGACAAAATAAACAATGTAAAAACATTTACAAACATCCAAATCAAGGATCCAATGCAAGAGACTCAAATTGGATCAAAACATTCGAATACAAAGAGAACATTACTTTGTATAAGTGTGTTTTACCGTCTAATAATGCTATCAACTTGCAGCTTAATATCTTCAAAAATCCTCATATTTCTTGCCATCCAAATATAATAGACAAAACAAGCTAGAGCAATTCTCCTAACCTTGCTTTGCCAAGACGTCCCTCTTGCTTCCTTTTTGATCTACTTCAATGCACTCACAATAGTAGTCATTGCTCTTGTAATCCCTGACCATTCCTTGATATTCTTCCAAATGCAAGAAGAAAAAGGGCATTGGAAGAAAAGGTGTTGGCAGTCTTCCACTTGTGATCCACATAAAACACACATGACATGAATATTAAGATATGTCAATTTGTCCTCAGTAAGCAACTTGGATTGCGCACCAAGCCAGAGTATGAAGGAGTGTTTCGACGTGATGTATGGCCTCTAGACCTTCATTGTCCATGCCTTCTTAACTCCAGCCTTTCTAAAAAAACCATATGCTTTGTCAATGCAAAAACTGTCCAGATTAGTCCATTCCAGCAACCTGGGTATTTCATTCCTGACCAGTGAGCCGGTCTCTGATTTGCAGAAGTTTCTTGATAAGGGCCGAGTCTCCCTCCTTAGCTGTATAAGCCCATATTTCTGTTCCTCTTAAATACACTTCATTAATCCGTTTGACCCACAACGTGTCCTTCGTTCTATGGATATTCCATAAAGATTTGGCCAACAAAGCAGGATTCCAGAATTTTATATCACGAAAACCAAGTCTTCCCTCACTTTTTGGAAGGCAAATGTTGTTCCAGGCGATCAACGGTTTCTTCGACCCCCAAAGGGATTTACAGCGCAAGCTAATAACTCTTGAGGTTACTGTGGCTGGAATTGGGAAAATAGAGAGCTAAAAATATTCAACTCCTTGAAGAACTGCCCTCACAAGTTCCGCTCTCCTCGCATAAGGGTTGATTTTCAGTTTTTGTGCCGCAAGTGGGATACCCAAATAACGAAATGGCATCAATTCCTTAAGACATATTTGTAAGGCCATATATATTGTCAAGCTCTTGCCCATGAATACTCGCCGTGTACAAGCATGATTTGTCAACATTCATCCTAAGACAGGATGCCTTTCCGAAATTGGATAAACAATCCATCAATACAGCCACCGAGGTTTGATCACCTCTAGAGAAAAGTATCAAGTCATCAACAAAAGCTAAGTGTGTGATCTTCAAAGCACTACATTTAGCATGAAAATTGATGAGTTTTAATAACACTTGGTCAAACAGTTTTTCCATTATCCCCGCCATTTGCGCCATTACAGAAAGCCTACTCCCTGTCACTATCATCCCTATTTGACCTTAAAGTCATCAACTGAAATGAAATTTTTGTTTTCAACTCCTTCGACCTTCACGCGTTTCAATGAAAGCCTTATGCTCAAATAATTGAGTAGGCGATGATAAAATTTGAAATACAAAATTCTTTTGTTTTTCATTTTTCATTTTTTTGTTTTTGTTTTTTGAAACAAGCACTTAATACCCTATCAAATAGCTTGATTTAAAAATTTAAGGTATGAGAAATGTCACATAATATATACATCTAATAAATGTGATTTACAAACTTATTTGTACTCTTAAATTTACTTACTATTTGATTATTTGGATATTATTTTTGTGAGAGAAACTCTCAATTTGAAGATGATTCATGCAAAAGCGAAGAATGTTAAGCATGAAAGGACTAGAAGAAGCAAAATAAAGAACTTAAAACGTGGTGCTTGTGAGGAAATTAGAGCATAAATTTTGGTACAAAGATTTTCAAAATATACAATTGAAAAGATAATCGAATTCAGAGTCCAATCATTATTTTGGGATTTTCTTTTTATAAATTGGGTTGATTTGACATGATCGAATTGTATTTGTTAAAGAGAATGAAACTACGGGATGTTTATTACATACTAAATCGAGATATTGCATGTTAAAAAACACAATATTATTTTTTCTCAAGAATTTGTTATTAAATTGAGAAATTTCTACTTGTTCATGCAATTGTCTTATGTTCTTATACATCATTTTTATCAAATTATTAATCAAGAGATGAAATTATTAATATTTAGAAATAAGTTAAGTAGTACTCGAGCGAAAAACATTAATATTTTATCTTGAATATGTCGACTAATTACACACTAATTGAATCAATTATGAAATGAACACGAGCACTGTCAATTAGTGAAATCAGGATTTCTAATTATTTTTTTAATTGGTTTCTAGCTGACGCTTTCTCTGTTTGAATTAAGTTGCTCATTTAGTTGATTATGAAAAAATCAATTTAAAAACTGAAATTTAATGTATTATTGTTAGGATCAATTTTAGGGCAAAATCAATAATCAATACTCGTGAGACGATAATCTAGTCGCTACTTTATTAATTATTAATGCTAGTGTCCTCTTGTGAGATAATTTCGACATCATCATTCAAATATTATTTTTTTTTCCGTTTACGTAATTAGGATTGACTTCAATTAATCATGTAACACAAAATCATAAACTAAATCACATATGATGTTCTTTGAATTTAAACTTTCGCGACTGCAAATATAACTCGATAGTGTTCTATAAGATTCGCGTTGAAACATGAAAATTTTTACCCTCGAGTTTCTTATTCTGCACTGAAAAATAAAGAAATGTATCAAAATGATCAAGTAACGTAGTTCATTCTAAGATTATGCCTATTCCTTTTAACAAACATATGATTCCAAGGTTTGAGTTTTCATCACTTCAATTTTGTTATTCTAAGATTACCTTGTCATGTCTTCATTGCATTATAATTATTGTTACACACAAGGAGAAAAAGGTATGCAATTTTTGTCTGATTATTTGGTTTCTTCTGATCTTATTGCTAAATTTTAACAATTTTGATGGTGTACAATCCAATAAAGAGTGTGCATGTGAACAGTATATGTTTTTATCCTTTGGCATTGTACACCACATTTTATTCGATTTGTAATCTCAATCTTTGTCTGTTGACTTTGACTTTGGTCTCCATTCGTTTTCTTTTCATGTGGGTGGGTGGAGTGAAGGTGTTGCAACATGTGAAGTGAGGAGACTTGATGTGGACTCTACTTGGTATATATAGTACATAATGGTTAAATAAAGCAAAATCTAGTGCATCTAGGTAAATTTAGTTATAGAGAAACTTGAAATAACTTGCTATATCGGTCAAGTTAATTATAGTTTTTAAGGCTCATATCAACCTAGTAATCCGTCCCGATATCTTTCGGCATTGTACACCTCATTTTATTCTATTTATAATCTCAATCTTTGGCTCTCTAACTTTGAATTTGGTCTCCATTCTTTTTCTTTTTCTTTTTAATGTGAGTGGGTGAGTTGCCGGAGTGAAAGATGCAGCAACACGTAAAGTAAGGAGACTTCACGCGGACTTAACTTGGTATGCATATCAATAACCAATTAATTATGTTTGTATAGTAGGTAATGGAGTGAATCAAGTCAAGTCAAGCCAAGCGCATCTAGGTAAATCTAAGTAAAACTATCTTAGTCCCTATTTGAGATCCATTCTTTAAAAATTCATTTTTTTTAAAACTCATTTTTAATCATACATTCTCTCAATAAAATAATTATATATGTATACCCAAAAAATTTTCGTAATTTTTAACCGCACATTCTCTGGAAAAATCATTATTATAAAATTTATTTTTCCAAAAAAAAAAAAAAAAGCTCAAATAAATCCTTCGCCAAATTTTGTTACTTAAGATTGTGGAGGGCGCCGTGATGGGCGCATTGATAGGAACTGCACATATAAAGCGGTAGGCGTCGACTTTACCTACAAAAAGCGAATACGCCGAGAGCTGTTTCCCATTGTACTAATAAACATATTTCTTTCTTTTCTATGGTTATCACGACAGATTGAAGGATTGAAACACAAGTCTGTTTGGTCAAAACTACCAATCCAACCCAATGCCAAGGCTCCTGCTCCTGCTCCTGCTCCTGCTCCTGCTTTAAGAAAGACAATTGGTAATAAAATAATTCATTTGATGGATTATATCGAGTCATTTCGCTCGTCTAACTCCTTGTGTCATCATATTTTCATTTCATCCTTCCAATCTTACAAATTGTTTCATGAGAATTTTTTTTCTTCCATTGATGCCGAACAGTAAGAAGATAAAATCGTAAACCAATTGAAAAGGAGAAGAAATGAGAAGGTTCTACCAAAACCTGCGTAACTTTTACATTGAGTGTCAAATTTATGCAAGCGAGTACAATTTGAAAGCGTTATTCAATTCCCTAAAATTTTGCCAAGTGATGATTTTGACCTTCTTTTAGGGGTTCGTTTTAGCTTCTCTCTCTTTTTATTTTGAGTCAGTTCAAGGATATTTATATCATTTTTGCACTTTTTGAATATTGTTCATATTTGCCTACAGAATTAGGGGTTTGCTTTGATTAGAATTCATTTGTACTCTTTAAATATGTATTAAGGGTTCTAAAATCCTACATTCGTTTTTTTATTATTAACAATAATTCAATTTCTCCTTTATTTGGTAGATTTCGGCATTTCTCATTTTCATTTGAGCGAAATTGGAGCAATGTTCATGCGTGTGTCCACCCCTACCATTGCCTCTATTTGTCCAATAAAAAATGATATATGTCCAGGGATGATACGATGGGGGCCCCCGAAGTTGGAGTTCAACCTTTAAAATATATATATATATATATATGTATGTACGGATTAACTATGCCATAAAGAAAAAGGGTAAATTTCACCAAAGGTCTCAAATCTTTCACAAACGTAATATTTACCTCCTTAACTTACCATTTGCTATATCTATAACCCTTTTTAGTAGAAAATATTATGAAACAAGCCACTATATTTTATAATCATGCAAAATATACACCAAATTTGACAGTTTCAGATATTTTCCTACCCACAATATTTTGAAAACAATGGGAATATCAACAATGACGTAAAAAAATGATGCACAAATTGCAAAATCCTATGTTTTATGAACATTGATGAATTTTACCTTATTCAAATTTTTAAACAAAAGACGAAGTCACCATTTGATTTGTGAAAATATTTTGAACATTTTTACTATTTCATCCCGACGTTACCTAAGTATCACATAACATTCAAATATATGTTTTGCATTAACTGGGGATCCATATGCCACAATTTTGAAAAATGGGAATATACGTGCAAAAAATAATAGGTTTGGGACATGGACATAATAAATCAATAATTTCTTTTATGTATATGAACAATTAAAGAATATATCTAGTAAATCTAGATCGTTATAATATATTAGATCTTAAAAGCAATCGTTAATAAGTAAAATTTAAAAGTGAGAACAAGAGATAATAACAACAATCTTATAAAATATAAATCGAATGTGATAATATTAAAAATTTGGAGTTGAGATCACATTGCTTGTCCTAAATTTTCTATTTCATCTATTGTTCCTTCCTCTGATATATTTTAACATCTTATCACATTAAATCTTCTTATTAAGCCCTTGTTTGATCTCCATTTTGGAGGAAATAATGCATTTTGAATAGCAGATTAATAGAGAATATGTGGCTAAAAATTAAAGAAAAGTTTTGAATTTACGTATAATATTATTATATTAAAAAATGTGTGGTTAAAAATAAGTTTTGAAAAAATGAATTTTCGGAAGAATTGGAGTCAAAGAAGGGCTAAATGTAAAGGCTTCAAAGTTCAATTTGTCATGATAATAGAAAATGTATTATCATCTTCTTATTTATTATGTAATGATTCGTTGAGATGTTAAAAATTTCTTGAGAAAATAACAAAATACCTTTGAACTCCAAAACTTGAACTGTGTGTTGTTGAAGATAAAGTCTTCATACATGTATGATAAATGATATATTAAGGATCATTCTAAACTTATGCTAAATATCGATGTACATATATATATTCATTGATTAGTCTTAATTTCAATTAAATTTATTATCCACAAATGGATTGATCTGTTATATCATCAGTGCTTAACATAAGATAAGTACCATTACTTAATAGATCATTGTTCATATACGTAGATTAGAATTAGAGATAAGAAAGTAATATAAATGTCCACAAATTTAACTTTGATTAAAACAAATAATACAAAAATTAAGAAAATTGTAAGGGCATTAATGTAAATAAAAAAGCTGTCTTAGGATTTTCTAGTCCTAGAAAAGAAAAAAAGTCACAAAGTTGTCCTAATAAATTCCTGTATAAATACTAAACAATGACTAATGTTTTGCTTCCTCTAAACGTCATGCCCTTTTTTTTCTCTTTAATTCTCTCTCTCTCGCCTCTGTAGTCCACCGTTTTCACTCACTCTCTGCATTTTCTCCATTTCACCAGAGCTTCACTGCTTCTCAGTCTCTCGACTCCGTAGTTGACTTAAGTGAGTGTTTCTGAGTAAACATTTTAGTGGGTTAAGTTCATCGGCATAGCTTTGTGTATGGAGAGAAAGACGGGCTTCTTCTCAGCTCTCAAAGAGGAAGTAGTGAGAGGCCTCTCTCCGGGTCGTTCAAGGAGGGGGAGGAGCCCGTCTCCGTCGGGCTCGGGCCTCCTCAGGCGGAGGAGAGGTAGCAGTATGGGCCCTCCTGAAATCTTTATTTCGAGATCCGGGAGTTTCAGGCCCGGAGTTGAGACGCTCTCGCCTTTGAGGGAGGGTCCAGATCCGAATGGGTCGGAAGGTGCTGACCCGAGGAATGAAAAGTGGGGCCACTGGTTGTGTCGGGCTCCCTCGGTTTCCACTTCTGGGCCAAGTTATTCAAGGTCGGATCTGAGGCTGCTGCTCGGCGTCTTGGGTGCGCCTCTCGCCCCCGTGCATGTTAGCAACATTGACCCTTTACCCCATCTCAGCATTAAAGACACTCCCATTGTTAGTTGCCTCTATTTCCCTCTTTCATTTTCATTTTGTATATTATTTATTACATTTTGCCTTCTATACAAATTTTCTTCTTTAAATCAGATTTTCGCACTTCCCATTAGCAATTTGAAGTTGTTGATATTGTTTTTGGCAATGTTTGTCCAATTCAAGAAAGCTTATTGTGTCATTATGTAATGAAATAGGCTTTAGTTGTTTGTGGAAATTCTCTGTTATAATGTCACTTGGGTGCCGTAAAATATTTTGCCAATTTGATTCATTTAATATCAGGACACGTAAATTTTACGCACATTATTGTTATGCAATCGAGAATTGAATTTAAAGCTATTAAATGGGAATCGAACCAAAAAGAAATTGGATATTGTTGACCACAAATTTTGGTTGGTGAACAGTTGTTATTTCCATTAATTCTACAAGAATAGCAGGGAAAAAAGAAATAAAAAGATTCTGTAGCACATGGTGGTCCTCTCTACAATTTCTGTGATTAGTTTTTGAGAAAAAAATGTTATCCGATATAATTATGTTTTCTGGAAATTTTTCAGGAATCATCGTCTGCCCAGTACATATTGCAGCAGTACCTAGCAGCATCCGGTGGACAGAAACTTCAAAACTCAATTCACAATGCTTATGCCATGGGAAATGTGAAAATGATGGCATCAGATATAGAGACGGCAACGAAGGTTATAAAGAGTAGAAATTCCTCCAAAGCATCAGAGTCTGGTGGATTTGTTCTCTGGCAAATGAATCCCGATATGTGGTATGTGGAGCTTGCACTTGGTGGAAGCAAAGTTCATGCTGGTTGTAATGGGGAGCTTGTGTGGAGGCATACGCCCTGGCTCGGCGCACATGCAGCCAAAGGGCCAGTTAGGCCTTTGCGTCGTGCCCTTCAGGTTAACTTTCTTGTAAATTATGATCCCTACTTTTATATAGCTCGCTTTGTTTGTGAACTGGAAATTAGTGACTGACCTACATTTGATTTGTAGGGTCTTGATCCGAGGACAACAGCGAACATGTTTGCCAATGCAAGGTGCACTGGAGAGAAGAAAATCAATGGTGAGGATTGCTTCATTCTCAAACTTTGTGCCGATCCTCAAACATTGAAAGCAAGGAGTGAAGGACCGGCAGAGATAATAAGGCATGTCTTATTCGGCTATTTTAGCCAGAAAACAGGGCTTCTTGTTCATTTAGAAGACTCCCATTTGACCCGCATTCAGAGCAATGGAGGTGATGCTGTATACTGGGAGACGACCATCAATTCATTTCTTGAAGATTACAGACCAGTTGAGGGGATCATGATTGCTCACTCAGGCCGATCAGTGGTTACGCTATTCAGGTTCGGTGAAACAGCCATGAGCCACACCAAAACTCAAATGGAAGAAGCATGGATCATTGAGGAAGTTGCGTTCAATGTTCCTGGTTTATCCATAGACTGTTTCATTCCTCCAGCTGAACTGAGATATGACTCCATTAGTGAAGCGTGTGAGCTTCCTCAGGGAGAGAGGGTTAAAACTGCAGTAGCAGCAGCTGCTTACCGAGCCAAGGTTGCTGCATTGAGCAAATCACAGGATGAAAATGTGAACAACATCGTACTGAAGATGAATATTTGATGACAGAGGAAGTGGTAGGTGGTTCCCTTTACGGGTTTTTAGTTTAGTATCTCGGTACAAACTGACAAACTGAGGTAAAAAAAAAAAAAAAAAAAAAAAAAAGGACAGTATTAGGAACTCGGCTGATTGAGGAATTTTACATATTGATGCTAGTTTTCTTCAATCTGTATATATACATAATGTGTCATTTAACTCTCAGCCTGGTGTTCCATAGTCGACCTTGTTTCCAGCAGAATCTGCTGATGGAAGTTTGTTTTCAGCCAACCAAAAACTGAATGTAATTCATTGTATTTCCTTCTTAATCATGTAATATCATGAAATAGCTTCGCCAAGACTAGAACATCCATCTTCGTATCAAGAAAATTTTCCATATTAACTCCAGAAATTTTACTTCATTTTTCTATTATTAAAAGCATGGTTTCTGGTTATGATTATGGCAATGGAAACTTTAGAGAAAAGTGGTGTGTAATCTGCTGTCCCATTGCCTTTAGAAATGATTTTGATTTCTCATGTCCCCAAGCAAATAATCATTTCTAGTTTCTCATGCAAGATGAGTAATTATTGCTTAAGTGCGTGTTTTGCTCTCTAGCTGTATCTCATTATAAGCACAGAGCCTCTCTCTTAATTTGGACAGTATCTTTTTCTATATCTTGCTTATCTATAGTGAATAATAACTAGATGAAGATAATGTCGTAGTATTACTTTAATTCGTGATTTATAGTTTGTTGGGTATAAGTTTTATACAGGGATAGTGGCTCACCCCACGAGCAGCTCACTTCCAGCTCGAGTTCTGGGGCGAGCCAAGCAAGATATATCTTGTGCAAGCTGCAGCCTGCACGAGTTGGCTTGTGAGATGAGCTCATCGGCTCGCCTCACGAGCCAGCTTGCGAGTCGAAGCTAGACGGGCTTATTGTTATTGCTGAAAAAATAGCTATACTAAAACTGCTTTTTAGCCATGATATGATGACACCCTGTAGATTTAGAGTGTCATCATCTTCAAATCAGGAGGCCGATGAACCAATTTGAAATTTCAATTTTTCAATTTTCAATTCATGGTCTATAAATATGGATGAATGAAAATCGTATTCATTATAATTTCGCAATTCTCTTTAGTCTACGATCTCTTTAATATACCGCTCTCGTCTCGCTGTTAGTATAAATTTATAATTAAATATGTTCGTTTGTTTTTCGTTATTGCGCTACTAGTTATTGATTTTTTCCCATACTGTCCACAAAATTCATGATGGATTACATTATATTCATGAACATCGACGGTTAACATTCGAATAATAATGATCAATAAATTCTTTTCACCTAACTAGGATTTTCTCCGAATTTCACTTTACTCGATGCTCGGTTACGGATAAGGAGAAAATGTCTATTTGGGAGGAGATATTCAAATTTTGTATGCATTTTTCCTTTTGGAGCAAGACTATTTATAGATTTCTATTTGGACTTTGATGACAACTGGGTCTTTTTAGTTGATGACAAATGGCGGCCATTAAATGTCTGACTTCTAACTGATTCTGTTACGTATTCACATTTTATTCACCAACTTATATGTCCTTTATTAATTGATTTTGAAGTCATGCTTTAAATTTCTCTTAACATATAATATTTTTTTTGCGAATGTAGAATGTCTTACGGAAATAGTTCACCTCATTTTGTTGCGAATTCTTGCTCTTCATAAATGTTTGCTTTTACTTTCCTTGGACTCGCGCAAGGGACGTGAGTTCCCTTGTTAATTCTTTATGTTTATTCATTGTTTAACAAATAGTACATTAAATTCTAATTTAATTACTTATGTTTAAATCTAGGATTTTTCTAATTTTTTTAGAATTCTATTTTGTACTTTGGTGTGTCGATATTTTGATGAACTGGCGAGATTAGATAATAATAGTTCTCGAAGTTCGAGCTTAACTACGAATAGGTGTTTTAATTAATGCGCGGTTAAATGAAACGTTTTCTTAATAATTGTCTTTTTTAAACATATTTTAAACGTGTTCTTTAATGCAAGTGATGGATATGCTCGTTCAGGAGCATTTGTTTAAATATGTCTTTCTATATTCGAGGGCTGTGAGTTACTTTATTTTTCAATGATTGAGATTGAGCCTGTCGGGATTCAATGGCTAAGATGCATTTTTAAACCTATATATACTATGCTTTCTGTCATTGTTCCTTACCCTTTTAAACACAAAAATATTTTTTAATTCTTTTGTGATTACTTACTCTATGTTTCCCTTTCACTTCTTCAAAGGGATATTCAGAATTTTGTAAATGATATTTCATCGTTCTCATTGATTCCACTGTATTCTCCCGATAAACTTTCCTTAGTTCTTCTATATAGAGGCCATATGGTTGAACAAAACTTTGAGATCAACATAATTTCCTATATCCAATGCTATTGCCAGGTAACTATGGTTCGGAGACCCGCGGAAATGATTTAGAAGCTGGAGAATAATGATTCAGAAACTAGCAAATTTACCATGTTTTTGCATTTTTCACATACGTGAATTTGGGAGGAATTACTTCAGGTAGATAGGTATTGGACTTGATTGGCTACCGGACTATGAGCTATCAGATAGTCGCGTTTTATTTTGTAAAATTTGATTCCTCCAAAATGCTTTCGACCTTTACTCTCCTTGCAGTTCAAGCGACCTCAGAGCTATTTTGTATTTTTCATTAGATTAGTTGAAATCGAGTGTATTTGACTTTGTAACCATTTTTCATAATAAAAAGATTTGAATCTTTTTGTTCATAATTTTTACAAAATTGTACATTGATATTTTGGGATCAGACCTGAACTTTCTTATGTCAGTTCTTAACCATATTACCTGCACAAACTCTTTTAATTTGCCAAACCATGGTGCATGTATGTTAATCTCTGAATGTGTTACTTCTAAAACTATTATCTAGCTATTGGTATACATATAGAGAACATGGATAGTTATCGTGACATCTACCTCTCAACTGTTTCCTCATATGTTTCACATATCTGACTTGCTTGGCATTTTTTTACTAAGTATTGAACTAATGTAGACCTTAATGTCTTGATGTTGTCAAACTTCATCCTTGTAAAAGATCGGATCATAAGTAATGTGATAAATCCAATTACATTGCCAAATCAATAAATGAGTATGCATTACCTATCTTAAAATTTGGATCATCCATATCCGTTGCAGGGTTAAGCTCTCACCCATTCCTACTTCTACTGGATGATCTCTTTGCCTCAGTGTCACTTGGTAAGCTTCTAAGCTCATTTGAGCCATCATAATCTATTCTAGCTTTTCATGAGCAACTGCCTCACCTTCTTGCTCACCCCTTACATTGTCAGAACCAATTTGTATTTTCATCCTTATCATCCATGGGTATTTCTTCTTCTTGCTCATACTCCGAGCCAATGAAATCCTCTAAAATACCCTCTTCATAATCATCATCTTGATCATGATCAACATGTTCTTCTTCAGCGGGTTCTACATCAGCCTGCAATTTTTGCTCTTTAGTATTTGCCTCACCATGAGGTTTTCTTTCACTTTCATCAGTTTTCACGTCTGCGGTGAAATTAGGCTCAACATGAGGTTGTCTTTCATCCTCATTAGTTGCCCATATGCAGGAGAACAACCTCAATCTACACCTTTGGTTCAGCAACCCGAGTTTCGTCAACAACGTGATCATCTATATACCTACAAGAACATGAGGTTCAAGATTAACATCCAACTCAACTTCAACATCAGGGGGATGAAATTCAAAATGTTGCTGATCATGAATCTCAGACTGTAACTCAATTAAATCTACTTCACAACCACCATCAACATCCACCCCAACATCTGGTTCTGCCCCAGTTAAATCAACCTCTTTTTCCCAAACCTTTGCACGAACTTCATCTCAAGCCCCAGTGCTAGATTCAACACCAGATTTACTAACATCAGTTTCCACTCGATGCACTTCAGCTTCTCCAACTCTATTTTGAACTTCATTGTCATCCCCAGCAATAATCACAACCCCAAATTTACCAACATCAGTTTCCATCCCATGCATTTCAATCTCAGATAATGTAGCCTGAACTTCTACTTCAACCCTCTCACTATCTTCCACCTAAATTTTCCTAGCATTTGGGACATCATTTCCTCCAAAGTTGGCTCCTCATCTACTTCATCAACTATGTATAAGTCATCACCTTCTAATGACTCATCACATATCTCAACGACATAGCATGCTTACTTCTCATCCACTGGTTCATCATGTCCTCCAAAGTTGGGCATTGCCCAACTCCTCACCAGTTTCACAATCCACTCCAAAATCTCAACTACAGGTGAGCAATACAAATTAACCACCTTATTTTCACCAAGCAACTTAACTATATTCATGAAATCCGAATCAGTTACCAACCAGAATGACGCCTCCCTTGATATCTTTTTTTCTACTTTATAAAGATACCCCATTCTATCAAAATATCCCAACATTTTCATGGTATTGCTTAGAAGAAATCTATTAAAGAAATTAGGGTCTACATAGTTTAGATTAATTATTTTACCATGATCATACACAAAATTTCTCATATTTAAAATAAAGTTCCACCATGATGTAAAAGTATGCTGAAATACTTGGAATTTTCGTCTTCAAAAAAAAAAAAAAGGGGGCCTAACCTTATTTCATTTCCATCAATGCACATGCATTCAACAAGCAATTACAATGTTTATTACATTCCAAGTCTTCAGAACACTCAAAATTTTGGAAGTTCGCAATAAATGTACACACCGTTGTTTACCATAGTTAAAAATGTCGTAAACGTGAAAAAATCACTAGAACACTTACCATACATAGGTTGGGGAAGAGAATCCCAAAGATGACATGCAATCCCTAATGGATTATCATTTTCTTCGTGAGTTTCTTAAGGGGCCATTGTAGAAGCCGAAGATATACAGTTATCCCGTGAAAGAATTGGAAATGTAATGAAAATTTAACTGGTCTTTCATTTTTAAAAGTGGAAAGGTGTTTTGACTGAAAATTTCTTCACTTATTTGGTCAAAATTATAAATTTTTCATTTTTGGAGTCAACTAACGACCTAACGGACGATTTTCGTCACTTTGGACTTGGGAGTTTTTTTTTATAGGTTTTGTATCTTGTGTGATACAAATGAAAGGTTTGGGTCAAGTTTACTCCAAAATGAAAGATTTGATATTTTGATTACAATTCTTTCAAATAAAAAACAAAAAAAGAGTCTAATAAGATGTTTGCATTAAAAAATGTAGCTTTTGTCTTTAAGGCTATAAACAAATTATTATTTTCCAAATGAACTGAATAATGAAATCAAGAAAAATATGTACATTTAT